CGATTTGAACAAAAACATTTCTCAGTTTATTATTTCAAGTTTGAGAGCCGAATAGACATTTAACGTTGTTCATGAATTCTAGATATAAACGTCAAATAAAGCCGCAATTACAAACAATTCAACAAATCGATCAAAACTCAAAACAATATTTGAAGTTTAACTAGGGTTTACAATTCTAAATTTTAAAGTTGCCTAATTCTACAATATAACAAGAAAGATGCATGACAATTGACAGAAATGAAAATCTCTACAATGCTTTATAACTTATTGCCTCTTAAAGTAAACTGATATTTTCTTAAAGAAAAATATTTAAATTTCTTTAATTATAAAATTTAATTTTGATCCAATTAATTTCTTTTAATAAAACTACTTCAGGACCAATAAAAATTCATTCATAAATTCGAAATTTATATTTCTAATTACAAAAAATTAAAGAAAACCTCCACTGTATATACACATAATAATTAAATTTTAGGGGTTATTTTCTGAAGAAATCTAAAATCATTATAAGATCCTAAAGAACACATCAATATTATGGCCGAAACAGAAGAAAAAAAAGGGTTCAAGTGGAAACGACTATGAACTTTTACTTTTATATTTTTTTTTTTATTTTACAAAGAAAAAATTATGATAAATTCTGTTCGTAAGCTCATAATCGTCATATATAACACAAATATACGAGATATATCACTAAATATAATCACTGAAGTATATACAATTTTTTTTTATAAGACCGTATTTACGTATGAAAAACATTTAATTTTTAATGGCTACTTTGTGGCTACTGGATATAGAATTCATTTCACATTCTATATTTGATATAATTTTTTTTTTCTTGTTAACTTGTTGTCAAAAGATGAAAATCTTAGGTATCAACATTAATAAGTGCATGCACATAGGTTTAAGTATGCGTTTACGGTAGCGCGCAAACTATTAAAAATTGGATGAAGTTTCTCGCTGAGGTAAATCTACGAGTAATATATCTATATCGTATATACTTTTTGCCTTTAAATAAAATTTCTTATAACTACAAAAAAAAAAATTATTTTTTACCTTGAAGATTTGATCCCGGCAAAAGAATAAGGAAATATTAGTGTTTTTTTTTCTTCTTTAATCATTTCTTTTTTTTTTTCATTTCATTTTTAAGAAATTTTTTAAAATGCTCGCCTAAATTATGAGATATAATTTTTCAAATGTCATTTGTGATCGCTACTGGTTTTCCAATGAATTTTTTTTTATTTTGCTTTTTGTTTGATTTTGTTTTTATTTTATTTTATTTTTCATTTATTTGGATTTACTATACTCAAAACTGTACTAAGCTGTGGTTGATCTGATATACTATAATATTTTATACATAATAAATATTATAAAACAGGGATGGGAAAATTTGAGAATCGGAAATATTTGAAAAACTTGATATTTGTGTATATCTACTGTAATGACAGAAATTTGTCAATTAATAAAGAATATTCCATTTTTTCGTCATTATGAATGTCAACTAGGAAAAGACAATTGTCAATTTGTTGACAAATTGTCAACTTAATCCTATTTGTGACATTAATATTATGTTACTTTAATTTTACATATTACAGTAATGCCTGATCAGTTGCTGATTTCTCTAAAAACTCATCAATTTATTAGAATACATTCCTTTAAATAGCAAGCCTATATATTTGCAAGCAGAGCAAGAAAGGAGAAAATTAGACAGTTACTAATTTGACAGAATAATGGGGATATTAATTTGACAACTAATAGATTTTTATAAGAGTATGAAACTTACTCTTCTTGCCTGCTACATGTTTTTTTTTGTGTGTATCACCAAGTGACTCTTTTGTATCACTTGTAATTTTGTGGTCACTTAAAATTTTCTATAATATCTTTCAATTTGTTTCATATTATCCTAGTTTGAAAATTATTAAACTTTTTTTTTTAGTTAAACGAATGCTTTGAATGAATTTCCGAAATAATTTTGATCTTAAAAGACTGGAAATTTCTTTTATTTGCCTCTTGATTTTTTTGTGTGTTCTTCAACATATCAAACAAAAAAAAAAAATTGTTTCTTTTTTTAAAAATTAATAATAGCAATAAATAAAATGTTCTTCAAAAGAATAATAATATCCCCTTAATACTGTATATAATAACTCTCTAAAGAGAGGCTACTATAAATAAAATGCCTTTGAAGATGGAAATTGTGAATTTGTATACGATAGGAAATTATTTTTTTATTATAAAATGCTGTTTATACATTTTTAATTCCTTTGTAAAGGCTTTTTGTGAAGCTCATCATATTATTATGAGAAATATGAATTAAGATTAAGATCAAGAGGCGCTAGCTTTTTTTTTTTTCAAAAAAAATTGAAAAGAAGAAGATAGGTTTTTTTTTTGTTAATTCGTTCCTTTGAAAAAACGTATGGAGATTTGGTAGAAAAAAAATGATAAATATTTTAAGAATTAATAAATAAATAAATTGAAAAGAGAAAAAAAAGGGAAATTTTTAAAAGAATAATAGGAATTATTATTTGTTACTTCAAGTTATTTTTATATACTTAAAAAATTTTTAACTCTTTTCTACATTTTTATCTTATTATTCAATTCAAATTCATTTTAATTTTGGAAAATATTTATTTTCAAATCTATCGCGGTTATTAATTATTAGAAAAAAGTGAAAAAAGAACAGAAGTAATTTTTTTTTTTTGTTTTCAAAAAAACTGTGATTGATTTAATCCTGTCCGTCCCTCGTTTCGTTTGTAATTTTAAAATAAAAAACTAAAATTCTTCAAGTAAAGTGGAAATATTAGAAAATGTTTTTTCTCTACAATAAATTTCTTAACTTATTTACTTACCCGAAAATTCATATAGCCTTGCCAGATAGCTTATTGTGCTCAATTGATAAGGAATTTTAAAATTCCACGAATGCAGAAAGTATTCTATTGTTTATAACAACAAGTCACTTGTTTTGCAAACAGCAACTCAGAGATGGTTGAAATTTTAGCATATTGCATAAATATTAACAAATACTTCATTTTATCTGAGTTTCCTCCCAAATTTAACAAAATTTTAATGTAAAGCCAATTGTATCTTTTCTATGCCATTAAATTTATGTAAATATGTTCAAATTATTGAAATTAGTTCAAAAGATACGAAATGTGCTACTTTATAAACCATTAATTTTGATCGATTGTATTTTTAATATCGATTACAAATTCATATAAAAATATTTTGACAGATTATATGGAATAATCTTATACAAAAGAAAAATCATTAAAAAATTTAAAGAATTTTTTAAAAAGTTAAAATATTTATGAATCAATAAACTATCGAAAACTCATATATGTATACATGTATAATTAAAATTGTTTTATTTTTGAATAAAATTAATGACTTTAATTTAATTTAAACAAAAAAAAAAAACACTCATAACTTTTGAATACTTAAAATTTTTTACCAATGTGTTATTTGGAAAGAAAAAATCTTTATTCTCTCCATTTTTGTCTTTTTGTAATTGATTTTGTCTGCATTGGGATAGTCGCCAATATATTGAAGAAAAAAACACAACTATGCGATAATAATGAAATTACATGCTATTAATAATGTCAAAAAGTAAATGAAAATATTAGACTTTATTCTGAGCTTTACAATAATTTAGAATTCACAATTAATGTATGGGTTAAATGAATATTTCATCAATTTTATTGAGTAGTATAAGCACAATAATATTTATAATTTTCCGCAGTTGGTTTTATTATTATTCACACAGTGAACTTTATTAACAACGACTGAACACTGAATCAGAGTAATTTTAGTACTCATTAAACTCAAAGTCAAAATTTGAAGTCTTTAATCGATTCTTAATTGATCAATCGATTAATTTTGAAATATTTTATAATTATATGTACTTAGGACGACACTAAAACTTTTTGTTAAAAAATGAATGATATTTAAAATTTTTTGTGTTTGTTGAGCATAATTAAATGCTCCTTAATTATTTTAAAAAATTTATCTTTTATTTTACTACTTTTGTCAAACATACATAACTTATTTTCATTATACATTTTTGTATATTTCATGTATCAATATGATTTGTTAATCATAATTCTTCGATTTTCTCATTACTTATATTTTAATATGTATTTCTTTTATTTTAAAGATTGACATTAAATTTAAATAATATTGGAAAATTCAATTAAAATCATAAAATGAATTTACATATTTTGTTATATAATAAAATATTTATACATGTATATATATAATAAATATATTACTTGAACGTAATGGTCATAAGAATGACGTATAATATAAATTTTATAATATAAATATAAAATTCGCATTTTTTTTAAATTTTACTTGGCAAATAGCAAACTCTTTATTTTGAATACACTTGCACACATTCATACATAAATTGCCATTATATTTCTCTAAATTTATTTAATATGTCAAATTTATTTATAAGACACATGACATTCAAATTTCGTCTGCATGTCAATAAAATATTATTATAAATTTCTTCTTGTACACTCATAAAGAAAATAAATTTTCTAAGATATTGAAACTAAAAATTGAAATATGTAAAAGAAAATTGCAAATTTTATTTAATACTTGACATTTTTTTATAAAATTTTTAAAAGATGACAAATTTATGGAATTTATAATCAAACATCACTTATCAATTAAAAAATTTGTATAAAACACCAGGGTTGCCTATAATAATTATTTATGAGTTTTAATGAATTTACATACTATACAAATAACTCTTTATCTTAAAGCATTTTTTTTTGAAAATTGAATATTTAAAATAATTAAAAAAGTATTATTAAATTAAAGAGCATTTATGTGTAAAGGTGTTTAAATAAAAATTAATAAAACAATTTTCTTACTACATACTCGTATTATGAAGGAAGAGTAAATAATTTTATACAAAGTGAACTTTAAAGAAAATTGACATTTATTCATTAAGTATTTAATATTAATCCTAAATTTTTTTGTTTTTTTTTTTAGGGTTATACACCATTACATTTGGCAATGCAATTTGGAAGAGATAATATTTTTGAACTGCTCTGTAATGTTTATAGTAAGTAATATTTCTTTTCATATAAGTAGGTACTCAAAATAAACAAGCGTCAATTAAAGTAATTCTTATTTTAAGAATTTTAATGAATAATATTATACTATAAAAACTAGTTAGTATCTTAAGTAAAATAAAATATTAAAAGAAGTAGGAAAAAAAAAATTAGTTTGGCCCATGGGAGGATCGAACTCACGACCTTCGCGTTATTAGCACGACGCTCTAGCCAACTGAGCTAATGGGCCATATATCTATTTCTTGTCAATTATCATATATGAAAATTGTACTCATTTTAAACATAATTGATAATACAAAAAGAAACTCATTTAAAATTTCACTCTAAAAATTTTTCACTCAACAAAAATTATACTCAAAAATTTATCTGCTTAATAAAAAATTAACTATAGAATGTAAATGAAAAGTAGTGTGAATATTAAAAATATTATGGTAACATGTTAATTTAATAATATTCCGGGCATTGGAATTAGCATTGTACTTAATATAATTCCGGTTGCATTTACAATTGTAAATATGTATGTATATTAATTAACATCAAAATATTAGCTACTAGAATTCCGAAATAAAAATAACCGCTGAATCTTAAAATCTCTTTTTACTAAATTTTCAATATTTTATGCTATAATTAAAAATTTTATTTCAAAATTAAATAGATATAAGTTCTTAAAATACATATACTTTAATAATGTATCTAAATATCATATTATTTCTCCTTCTTATACTTTATAATATTATTCTGAAGCCCCATATATAATAATTTGCAAAAATCCTATTGTAAATGTAGAAAAATATTTATTTGTTTTCTGTTATATAAATTTATTTCTAAATAAACTTATTTATTATTGATTTATTACATCAATTCAATTCAATTTTATCTCATACTTATATAATATTATACAAGCAATTCAATCACTTAATAACCATGTATAAAAATAATAATAATTTTTTTTTTTTTTTTAAACTTATATATTAAATCATGATATTAAAGTTATCAATAATACAAATATATTACATATACTTGTATAATATTTAAAAACAGATAATAAATTGATTTGGTACAATAACAATAAATAAATAAATATGAGAGAAAAAAAATCCAAAAGCCCCAAACAAAATCTTTGAAAAATAAAAAAAAACTATAAAAATAAAAATGGGACAATAAATATATTTTGATAAATGCCGATTCTCAAAATAAAGAAAGGGAGAACGAGACAAAAAAAAGATAAAAAAAAAATATAATTTTTTTCCTTGTTGAAAAGGACACCTTAAATGGATAAGAGAAAACAAATATGTATATAGTAATACAATAAGCTACTAAAAAGAATTGTGCCTATATTTTATATAATTTTATAAATTCATAAAATAAACAACTTACATAATACATAAGCCATCTTTGTTTGGTATAACAAAATTGATTTTCAATTTAGTAGGTATTTTTAATAAAAAACAATATTAATGTAAAACGTTCATTTATTACGTAATAAAAAAAGTATACATAAAGTCATCTACCGGAATAAATGTGCATATTTGCACCTCTCAAAGACGCTTTCATAATATCCTAGATGTAATTAGGGTTTGTTAATTTGCATGATTATATAGGAAGGTTATATATATGTATAATTAGCCCCTTAAAAGGATTACCGAAACAATTTAAGTTTCTTAATATTCTTGTCTGTGTTGGTATTTAAATACTAGCAAATTCAATATTATTTCTGTATACACATGTATGTACATACATATTATAATGAGTACTCATTATAATATATAGGAACATTTTTTTTTGTGGTATAGCTAAAATGTTATTTATTTTATACTCTAATTTATTCACACTGATTGAATAAATATATGATTTATTTTCATTTTTATATTAAAAAATAAATAAAAAAAAATTTAAAACAGTCAACAAATTTATAATAAATATACATATACAAAAATTTATGTGAATATTGTTTATTGAAGAAAACATTAATTAAAATAAACAATTTTTATTTATTTTTTTATTAATTTTATTAAATATTTGTAATTTATCTGAAAATTTTGTAATTTTAAATATATATATTTAAGTATGTACATTTTACCGCCTAAACTACATTGTATCGGAATGTAAAATATCGGAAATAATTACCCGAAGTTTTTATACTCAAATATTCATATGTACATGTATAGGCCGCAATACCAGATTAAAGTAGAAGTGACTTCAATTTAAGTATGACATTAATGACAATAAAAATATCTAACAATTCAAATTAATAATACTAAAATTATGAAAAACTTACTTTAAATTTTGTTCCAGGATATTGTTCTAAACTATATCAATTGCGGTCCTTATATTTGGCTTAACTGATTTTATTTGCATTTCAAGTCATTTAGAACTCCAATTCTGTTTACGTAGTAATTTGTTCTTTATTTTTACATTGTTTCACTTGATATACTTAAATAATACATAGTTTTTTATTCATTATTTATAAAAGACATGTTGATGTAAAAGTCATTATACATACATATATGTGTACAGATAGACAATAAGTAATACATAAATAACTAAAAAACAAACATAAAAATTAAAAGATAATACCGATTTGTCGGATCTTTTATTTGTTTTTGTTTTATACATACTATTCCAAATTGAACCTTATCACCTGTCAATCAAATGTGCATCAAGGTATCAAAAATCATTGATCAGAAATAATAGTATTCATACATTATATATATACATATATGTGTAACATTATGTGTGTATGTTAAGTGTTTGTAATTCAATATCATGCCAAAATAAATGGGTCCAACACTTATTTAAAATATAAACCAATACTAATATCAACCAAAAATAAGCCAGCCAACTTAAGACTTGAAGAAGATACTGTCATCTCTGTTATCACTCATATGACTATTATAAATTTTTTTCATACTTCAATTTTTGATTCAATGAAATAGAAATTTAAATTGACAACTGGTCAAAATGAATTTTCGCTACTCCAAATTTATAACCATGCTACTAATAAAATTAAAAAGAAGAAAATGAATTCAATTTAAATTTTTATTGAATTTTATTTTGAATTTATTTATTATTGTCGAAAAGATTTTATGCTTGAATAAAATACAATTTGAGTTCGGATCATAAAAAATATAATTAATTCGGAAAATAAATTGAAGTTTTTTTGTCTAAATTATTGTTATATTGAAGAGGAATGACAACCATCAATCTTTTTTGTTCAAAATTTTTTTTCGAAAATTTATAAAATTAGTTTGTTATATTTATGGCTTTATTCTTGAAAATATCATTGTTTTGTTATTTTATCCTAAGTCCTAAATACATACATATATAAAAATTTCACAAAAATAAAGAATATTTTGAATTCTTATTGTTACATTGAAGGCTTTTGAGTTTTCATCCTAAATTTGTATAGGCTCCAAATTATGTGTTTTTCAAGTATTTAAATTCTTACTGCCAGAATCTGCTATTTATATTAAGTGTTATTATTTTTATTAAAAATTTTCTTATTCCAAATTATCAAACTATTCAAAATTTTTAGCATGTATTCAATTCAAACAGCAAAATAAATTATATTAAAAAATTAAATATAAATACATATAATTTTTTTTTCTTATATTTTTTTTTTTTTCAAATAATATATAGAAGCAAATCGTGATATAACTGATTGGAGTGGTAATAAACCATTAGATTATCGTCGTCAACGTACAACTGTATCAGCATCAACATATAGCAGTGAGTATTTTGATATTTTATTACAACAACAACAATCTATAAATCCACATAAATATAATATGGGTACAGTAATACATAAAAAACGTTCACAACCTCAAAGATCAACAACATTTAATACATATAGTAATAATAGTCCATTACAAAGGGCTAAATCATTAATGGTTGGTAAAAATAAAAAAAATTCACCATTATTAATGCGTGAACAATATAAAAATTATAATATAAATAAACGTATGAGTCATAATATTCAAGATAATCAACATAATAATGATGTTGGTTTTGATGAAGTCGATGAAAGACTTATACCAGCTACAACTTTAATGACAACAGCAGCAGCAACATCAGATAATAATAATTTAACAACATTACCATCATTAAAAGAAAAATCATCAACATTAAAGAAAATGGTTTCGTCTAAGAAATCTTTTAAAAATTGAAAAAATTATTTTAAAAATTTCTATTCCTGTTTTTTTATACTTTACACAAATTTTATAAATTTTTTTTTTTTTGGAATATTGGATTTTAAATTATAAATTTATAATTTAATGCTTATTGTTATTATATAAATATTTTTGTTACATTTTTCTTAATATAACTAATTTTCATTAGCTTGATTTTATTTACTAACCAAAATATATTTGTTACGTTACTTTTATATTATACAATTTATTTTAAGATCAAAAATTTTTAGAAATGAATATTTAAAAGTCGCTTTAAAATCAAAATATAGATGAAAAGGAGTCGCTTTTTAAATGAACTCATCCCAGTGAATATGTGAACAAATACATTATACAATTATTCACTTACAAGAAATATTTCTATAATCAAATTATTTTGCCAAAAATCTTTGTTATTGATCTATATTGCATAGCGGAAAAAAACAATTCAGATAATTCTATAGTCTTAAAAAAAAAGATGAAAAACTGAATTAGTACTATTTTATTTTTCTGTTTTAAAATTATATACTTGTCAATTATCCTATCTAATGAATTAGACCTTATATATAAATTTATATAAATCTAAAATAAGGTTTATTAGAACACTAACCTCATCATCTCACAATAAACTCATCAACCAATAACTACCTATTTTTACCGAGAAATTGAAAATTCTCAGAAAAAGTTTTTTATACATTCCTACACTAATTATTAAGAGATTCGAATGTGCAATTCTTTTCATATAATTAATCTAATTCATCTAGTATCATTCCGGGAATTTATTTAACCCATTTATTCCAGTGTATCTATTATAACACTAAGCTTAAAGGCGCAGCGAACAATTTCATATTGGGTTAATATTGTGTTATTAAGTGCATACCACCACAATAGCGTGAAATTAATGGGTTAAAATATTATATTATATATTTATTCTATTCACAATATAATTATAAAAATTTTTTTTAACAAAATAGTCTTAATAAAATATTCCAATTATAATTACTTTTTATTTACAAGTTAGACATAAACAAATGAAAAATTCTCTTATTTCTACCAGATTTAAACGACTCCTATAATTATAAAATATAGCGACTTCTTTAATAATTATCAATTATTTCTTTTATGTATTCTACTTATATTTTATTGCATGTTATTTCTTATGTTTTTTTTTTATATATTTTAAATTTATTATATACAATTTTTTTCAAATCTTAAAAAGTATTATAATTTCTATTATATTTTAAATATGTATATGCATTTTTTTTTATTAAAAATTTTATAAATATTAAATATTTAATTTAATTTAAATTAAAAAATAAAAACTTAAATTCTCTTTTTTCTTATTCTATGACAAAATGCTGCGCATTTTCTATTTCCACATATATAAAACTCCAAAATAAAATAATTAAAAATTAAATTAATTGTCCTAATTTCTCCTATGATGGTGATTGGTTATAAAATTACTATAAATTAAAAAAATTAATTTAAAAAATTATAATAATAAAATTAGAAATAGAAGCAATGCGTTTGAAGGTTAAAAGTAAAGGATTTTTATCACTAAGGCAAGTTTTTATCACAAGTGTGAAAACAAGAGTCTATATTATGAGCATAAAAAGCAAAAAAAAAAATATATGCACTTTATAAAGCATAATTTTATTAATTAAATTTAATTTTTGCTGCTTTTAATCTTGTTTATTACATATCTTTTTTTTTTTTGTGTGTATATATATGTGATTGATTTAATTCAAAATTCAAAATATTTTGCATGTTATTGTAAAAAAAAAGGAAAAATTTGATTCTATTAAAAATTTAATTTTCGCTCTTTTTGTTTCAAATTATATACAAACAAAATTTACAAAAAATTTCGAATACACACACAATACGCTGCGCTTAATTAATAAAAAGGTTCTTCTGAAAAGCCAGTTCTAACTTAGTACTAAATAGATTGCAGTGTATATGCCTAATAAGAACTGATTAAACAGTAAAGCAGTGCTTTTAAAAATGCAGAACTGCAATAGCAGCTTTTCTAAAAGGAACTAAAATTGCGATTTCAGAAATTTCTAACTGCAATAGCTTAATTATCAAAAAAGATGAAAATTGCGATCTTTTTTGTACTTCTTATCAATCAATCCAAAAAAGTTATTTTAGTTTTATTTAGTTTTTTTGATTTTAGGAATTGTGTTCATATACTGCGTTTTCAGAAGAGCCTATACACTAATTATTTTCTTTTATAATAAATTACTTTTCTATATTACATTAATATTAAAAAACAAATAATTGTTCTTATAATTATTAGTCATGCAGCTTTTACAATCATTACAATCTCATCAAAAATTTAGTTTATTATTGAAAATATTGCGGAACTGTAATGAACAAATTTATTAAATGCAATATAGTAAATATAAAACATACTTTATACGTGTAAAAAATTATTTATCTCATTAAAGACAAACCTTTTTTTTTAAATATCTAAATCGACCTTTTTTATATTTGAATTGTGTTCTTTCATATATTGTTATTTATTCTATGATAAAATCTCTAGTTTTTTTCAAAATTTTACTTTTAATGGTCAATATTTCGAAATTTACATATAATATAATGAAAGAATTTCTACTACATTTTTTTTTAATTTAATGAAAATTTACGAGCTTTGATTTCTATATAAAATTATTAAACCGAAATTAATATATATATATAGGTAAATTAGTACTATAACTACACATTCCTGATAGTATAGCATATTATAATTTTTTTCTTTTTTAAATATAAAATTGAAACTTCCTGTACTCGAACACTCTTTAAATCAAACTGAATTTAATTAACGCTTTCAAGTATAGAGTTATATATTCATATTTAATTGCGTTGACTGTATTTAAACTTTTTTCTAAGATATATAGAGTTGTTCGAGTTAAAGGAATTCCACTGTATCAAAATTCCTTTTTTTCTTTTATGTTTTTATGTAAGTATATCGGTAAGTTTCTTAAATTTCAATTTAATAAATTTTAATATTTATGTGCTTAATTAATTAATTGTGTTTTTTAATGCTACAAATTAAATTAAAATTATTTCATATGATAACAAATAAAATAAATATTCTAGAATAATATGCAATTTAAAATTAATGTCATAAAGTTTTAATTTTTATAAAGTTTTAAATTAATTATTTATTAAAATATGGTTAATGTAACAGATCCTTGGATTTGCATTAACGTAATATATTACATATTAATTAAATTCTATTTATGTTACATTATCATGTTCCTAGAATGATCATTAATTTATGCATTAAAGTTTTTACTTCAGAATTTGTATCCAATAATGAGTACGATTCCAATCCAATGATGACTTTATGTGTTTTGCGTTCCTAAAAATATTTGAATATTTTAATTAATAATTCAAGCAAAATTTATAATTTAATTAATAATTATCATATGAATTAATTTTATAAAATAAATATTTGTAGAACCATCTTTATTCTAAAATGTTTCCGGTATTGGATATTTTTCAAAATACTTAAATATACCTAGATATTTTTATAATTTATTAAGTAATTTTTTTTTTTTGGTATTATAATTATAAAGTTGTCAAATTTATGTAATAATTATGTAGTATAAGAAAAATGATTACAATATTCTCTTTTTCATTTTTAAAATTAGTGATGTAGATTAAAGTTTTAATTTAATAAAAAACTTGTTAATACATTTAAAAAAATTTTGCAATACTACATTTACATAATTAGTAAAATTTAGAGTAATTTTAAAATTTAAATCATTATTTATTGTTAGATATATGTTAGAAGTAAAATGTTTTATTTAATTAATCGTACCTTTCATGAAAACTAAGTAGTAAATACTAAAATGTTTAGATTTATTCAGGTAATATGAGCAAAACAAAAATCAAAGTTAGATCATTTATTCTTACTATAATCTTGACTACTAGAAACTATTAATATCAAACTCAGTACCATTATATCCTAAATCCCCTTTTCACCTAATACGTTACTTAAATTTAATCATAGAATGCAATCATAAATCATAAATTGCAATAAGAAATCAATGCATAGATTTATGATGTGATATTCAATTATATATTCAATTATATTTTTATTATAACGTAGCTTTAGAAATTATGAAATAATTGTGGATCATTCCTTCCATTTTTATATATTTTTTGTAAATATATTTAATAGGTCAGCTTAAGTATCATTTTTTAGTTAATGTTATACTTCCTTATCATTTTCGATCATCTTCAATTTTGTAAAAACTGTAAAAACTTTCACCATTTCATCTCATATAATGGATTCGCTAAAATGATACAAATAGAACCATTATTTAATAAATGTTGTATTATAAATTTTTATTTTACTTAAAAAAAATGTACATTAAAAGTTTTTGTAATTTTAAATGTGAACACATTTTTTAATTTAAATACGAAAATTTTTTCATTCATTTCAATGTGACGTTTTTTATTTTTTATATAATTCAATATTAATATTTATTTTTACATTTTTTTACATGTTTTTTTTTATTCTGAATAAATGCTTTGAAAAAATATATTAAAAAATAATTATTATTAATAAAAATTCATTTTATTTTTCCTTCTTTTTTTGTTAATATAACTTTTAAATATTTAGAAATCAAAGCAAAGAAAAAGAATATAGGTAAGTGTGATAAATTTTTAATTTTAAATAAATGAAATTAATTTTATTTTCTTCTTTTTTTTTCTTTTAACATTAAATGAAATTTGAAGAAAAAGACTCGGGATTCCTTCGGATTGGCTCTTTGAATGTCCGAGTGAAAAAGACGACAGAAGCATTCAGCAATTTTCTGGGAGTGGGAGGGAGCAATGGAAATACGAATCAAAACAACAATCATCACCATTACCATCACCAAAACCAACTGCAAAGTGGTAATATTTTTTTTATATTATTGGTTTTATAAAAAAAATTAATGTTAAAAATTTTGTTTTAATTTAAATTTGTAGGTATGATGCCACCACCATCTCAGAATCCTCGAGCACATCAGATGAGAGCGAGCATACCAGTACATTTAAGCAATAATAATAATAATAATGATAAAATACATAAAACATGGGGATCTGTTGATAATATACCGAAACCATATGATAAAAATATGCCACCACCATCAAAAAATTCAAAACGAAATAGTAAGACAAAAAGATCACAAGATGGTTTTAATAGTATGCCAAGTACACCAAATCAATTAACAACTGATAAAAAATTTTTAAGTCATGATCAAAAAATTATTTTTCAAGATTCTGATGATTCTGATTCAGCAGCTGGTTTCGATTCAAGTTGGTCAAAAGCGAAATTTTAATATTATATTTTTCAACTTACACATTTATACATTTACATATATTTTTTTTAACGATATGGGATTAAAATTTATTCTTTATATTTATATAACAATTAGTATGTATTTAAAATTTTTAAAAAATATTGTCAATATTGACACATATTTAAAATGTATTGGGAAAACTCTATAATTTATATTCAAAAAGAAATAATTATTTACTCATTTTATAATAATCTCATAAAATTATTAAAAAAGAACATAGAATTTCACTTAAATATTAGGATGCACGCCTACATTTAAGGTATTTTATTTTAAAGCAATTCATTTTTGATGAATTAGACATTTAAATTTAAAAAGTACTATGACATTTTTTTTAATTATGTACATTTAATTTTTTTATTTGATTCTTATTAATTTTAAAAAAAAAATATGTTGATTAAGGTCCCCGAAATAAATTACTTCGTAATATAATAAAAATACTCTCTCTTAATATAAATTAATTAAATATAAAAGTTAAATTAAAATGTTTTTAAAATTTTGTAGCAGAATTAAATTGAATTATTTAAGTAAAATACTTCTCTAATTAATTTTCAAAAAAAAATGATTATAATATTAAAATTATAAACGAAATTAAAAAAAATTTAATAAAAGTTGATTAAAAATATGTAAATAATTTTAATCTTTAATTACAGATAAAAGAGCCTGATAAAATCTAAAGGGGTTATAAAGCCCATTAAAAAAACCAAATAAATAATAATGATTACATATTAAACATCAAAATACCTTTAAAATATGAAACTTTCCAATTCTGGAAAATTGTCTCATTACACTTAATTATAAATCCTCTAGTCCAAAATATTAATTGTCCTTTAGATTTAGTAATTATTTCATATTCAAAACAAAACTAAGTGTAAATTTGCATAAATGTAAAATGTAAAAACTTAAAACTGTTAGACCATTTCTGAACCGTTTATACCTTACCTAAAATCAAGAGTTGAATAAGTTACATACTTAGTTCTACATAAATATATATGAAACTACATACCCACCTGTGAATTTGTAAATTTCATATAATTTTTCATATAAATCTGCTGATGAGCTATGATTTATCAATTTGTAATGGAAATTTGCATACATATGTACATTGAATGTATTTTAATTTTTCAATTGGAATATGATTTTTTCTTGAAATTTTCTTCATTTTTTAAACAAAATCATCCTTTCGAATAACTGTTTAATTTGTTATTGAAACAAACATGTCTTCCAAATCCTATTTAATTTGAAAAACGCTATCCCCTTTTTATGTAGCTAATTGCAATTGAACAATCTCAAATAGTTTCCACTTGTTTATCAACTTTGATTTTACATTTCCTAAATTTATATTTTACAAAAATTAAAACTTAATTAATTATAAACAAAAAAGCCTCCTTTTTTATTGCTCAATTTTTATATGAAAATGCTCAATTTTCGACTTTTCATTGTGAATTTGGTGAAAATTTTTGAAAATAAAAAAGAAACTCAAAATTTGAGTGAAAATATTTTGATATATTTTTAGACTGCTGAATAAGATTTAAAATTTTTTTTTTAATGCAACCGACAGCACCTAAATTTGACAATTTAATTTTGAAAATTTAATTGTCAAGTACATGTGCTACTTGTAAATAAAACTACCTTACCTTATAAACTTTAATAGCAATCTTCTTTTCCTTCGAAATTGAAGCAAGCGGCTAGGCAATTGATATATTAAACACTATAAATATTGTAAATTTTTTTATATATAAAATTTAATATATAAAATGGGTAAAAAAGATAAAAATAAGAAAAAAGGTAAAGGAGCTGAAAAAACAGCAATGAAAACAGATAAGAAACTTGCTGCAAAACAAAAGAAGCTGCTTTTAAAAATTGGCGAGGTAAAAATTTAAGCACTTGTGAGAAAAAAAAAAAAGAAAATTCTCAAACTTTTATAGGCTGCTATTGAAGAAATCGTTGCAAATTTAGAAAGTGAAGAAGCACGTTTAAAAGAAGTTACAGAAACAATATGTGAATGTCCAAGTCCACGATCAAATTTTACATTAACAGCTCATCCGGAAAAAGATGAAATAATCCTTTTTGGGGGAGAATTTTTTAATGGACAAAAAATTTGTATTTATAATGATTTGTACTTTTATAATATCAGTAAAAATGAGTGGAGATTAGTGAAATCACCATCTGGTCCAGCACCAAGAAGTGGTCACCAGATGTGTAGTGTAGCTAAAGAAGGTGGACAATTGTGGGTAAATAAAAAACAAAAAATTTCGTAAATTTTTAAAAAATGTACGTGTGCTTAATCTATAGATACCTTTATTTTCTAGTTATTTGGAGGAGAACATGCGAGTCCTTCACAAATGCAATTTTATCATTACAAAGATCTGTGGGTTTTTCAATTGGCAAATAAAAGATGGGAAAAAATATCTGCACCAAATGGACCATCACCACGTAGTGGACATCGAATGACTGTTACAAAAAAGAAATTAATTGTATTTGGTGGTTTTCATGATAATAATCAAGCATATAAATATTTTAATGATGTTCATATGTTTTCTTTGGAATCATATACTTGGTTAAAAATTGATATTACGGGTACTATTTTACCTCCTCCAAGATCTGGTTGCTGTATATCAGCATCACCTGATGGTAAGATTCTTATATGGGGTGGTTACAGTAAGTCTCAAGTTAAAAAAGAAATCGACAGGGGGACCACTCACACGGATATGTTTGCTTTAACTCCGGACAGTAATACACAATATATATGCATAATTAGGCACATTTTTAAATATAACTTGTTTTTAGAATCGCAACCAAATGAAAAATTCAAATGGACAACAGTAAAACCTGGTGGATTTAAACCTTTACCACGTAGTAGTGTTGGCTTTGCTCAAGCTGCTAACGGAAAAGTTTATTGTTTTGGTGGTGTAATGGATATAGAAGAAGATGAAGAAAATTTGAGAGGTCAATTTGGTAATGAGCTTTATTGTTTAGACATTTCAAATAATACATGGCGCTTGCTGGATATACATAAAAAAGAAAAATCTAAAGGAAAAAAAACTGGAGTTGCCGACTGTGAAATGGACGAAAGTAAAGAAGAAACAAAAACTCAAACAACTACTGATGGTATTTTTACAATAACTGTGGCTGGACCTAGTTCATCGTCATCCGAAATACATACACATAAAGAAGGTACGATATCAAAATTTGAACCATCACATCGAATGAATGCTGGCTTATGTGTTATAAAGGGAAATCTTTATGTTTATGGTGGGATTTATGAAGATGATTACAATAAACAATTCACTTATAACGATTTATATTCATTGGATCTGCATAAATTGGATGAATGGAAAACTATAATAACAAACACCCAACATGATTGGATGGATGATGATTATGATAAAGATAGTAGTGGTTCTGAAACTGGTAGTGACAGTGAAACTGAAACTGATGAAGATGAAGACGGTGAAAGTATGGAAACAGATTAAGAAAAGTTACTATGTTTTTTTTTGTGTGTCTCAATTTTGCTTTTCAACAAATTTGTGTTATTTGCAGATTTTATACTTAACGTAATTATTGAATGAGAAACCAATTATTTTTATATTTTAAATAAAAATATACGTCTACTTATTTTATATTCTGCTAGTATAAGCAAAACTCGCAATCTTAATTATTTTTAAATTTTTATATATGGCCAAGCCTCGAAATGAAATTGTAATTTGAATTGTCTGATAATCAAGAGAAATATTGTATTTTAACTAAATCGTTGTGTTTAATAACGAAACATGTGTTCGAAAATATATAATGATCAGGAATGGGAATTAAATTGCATTCATTTCATGCAACGAATTGGAAATACTAAAGAAAGGAGCATCTTTGTTTCTTTCACTCTGTAAAAAAATCCAAGATCTTTGAAATATCTCTTAAACAAAAAAAAAAACAAAAAATCCAAGACTTACTTAACGTAAGTCTCTTTCTCAAGCCCAAGCATTGTCAAATTGAAGTTGACAATTCAATGTCAATGATGCTTGTAAGCAAGTAAAGAGCAAAAAAACAAAATTTTTGTAACTTTATTCAATAAAAAGCCTAGTGAATGAACAATTCTAAAAATAAAGTAAAGTATAAAACAAAACAAGATGGCAAAGAGAATTAAAATGTTTCCAAAAAAGAAAAGGTGCATAATTCTAAACTGCTGTTTGCATTTAAAAGAGGAAGTTTTCCACCATGTGTTTGCGAATACCACCTATAAAAGAAAACATTTGTTTTTGTTTGTTTTAAAAACCAGGGTCGGAGTTTGAACACCAGAGTTTTGTTTTCTAAGCAAAATTAGTTTGTATTATTTAATTAGTCTTACACACATGCGATATTCAAAATTGGCAATTTTTTATATGAACATTATTAACAAAAATTACTTTTTGCATTTAAACTTTTTAAATTTTTGATTGCATAAATAAATCTGATTGTAAATCTCTCAAAAAAAAATCTAAATTTCACAAATAACTTTAAAGTAAGAAAAAATACTTTTTGTTTCCTTTGGGAGAAACTTTTTGTTTAATATTTCACAAGCGAACCCAATATTTAAAAAAAACTTCAGTTAATTTTTAATTCTTGACAATCACTTAACTTTTCATTCCGTTGATTTATGATGATGCTATGACATAGCACATACATACATTACATCCGTTCTCAATCAATTATTATTATAATAATGATACATAATTTAATAATGAATCATAATTTTTACAAAAAGCACATCTAAAAATCTTGTAAATCTTTCATTCAATAATGGGATTCATGTCAGATGTCTATTTATTTAAATAAAATTAAAACCTCAAGGCTAGTTTAAAAAAAAAACAACTTGATTATAAATTTACTGTGTGTTGTATATAATTACAAGTTCTTAAAAATTAAATTTCTGAGAAAAAAAAAATATTATGCTCATGAAACAAAACTTATTATTTATTAAATAAATAATAAATTAATTAAAATTCAATTCTTTCTTAAGAAGATAGAATAATTCTTTGTATGTGAATTTATTCCTTATATTATTTAAAATCATATTTTTAGCTAAGACATAAACCTATTTTGTTTTATTTCAAAATATTTTCCATGTAAAAAAAAAAAAATGAATCTAGAAATTTCTGAACCTACCCAATAAATAAATTTCTGTATACATAATTATGTATTAAAAGCAAAATGACATTTCATAAATGTCATTCGATGACACATCAGCGTTCTTTGTCATTAATTCGTCATACATCAAAATTTTCTTTTTGTTTTTTTACAAAATATAAAATATTTTCAATTAATTTTTCAACGTGGATTATAAATAAATATTTTCCATAAAAAAAAAAAAAAAATATTGTAAATTGTTTTAAGAGAATTTAAAATGTAAGTTTTTTAAAAATATTAAAATATTAGTTTTTTTTTTTTCTAATAAAATCTTTAAAAATTTAATATAAAATATAATTAGCGTTAAGAAATTTTTGCGCTGTATGTTCCATATTCATTTTTTTTTCTCAATTTTTTTTTTTACAATAATACTAGAGACAAGATGAGGAAAGAAAAAAAAAAACAATGAAATAAAAATTTGTTTAAAGAAATTTTTTTTTTAATACATATTTGGATTTGAATTTGAATTTTGTTATAAAAAGAAAAAAAAAATGAAATAATTTTATTTCCATTTTTAAGTAAATTTGTTTATAGCCAATCTGTTTTGTTTTTAAAATATTTTTTTAAGGAAAAATAAGAAATATGGTAGTAAAAGAATTCTGAGAGTTACAAAAAAAGTTTATTTTTCTTAACATACAAAATAAAAATTGTAAAATGTAGGTTGTGGCTAGGTACACATAAAAAGAATTTTTAATTGACAGAAAGGAAAGAGTAGTGATGTAATTTTATAAAATATCTAAACATATAAAAAATGAAATTAAAAAAATAATGAAAAAAGAAGAAAAGAAAACATTTGAAAAAAATAATTTTTGTGATAAAACTCATTTTTTTATGTAGCTAAGCGAATAGTATAGAGTAGTTTTTATACAGAAAAAAAAAAATAGAACCTACATAGTATTTAAAAATCTTTTATTTCAATATTTTAACACGTCGTCCCGTACCCTACTTTACACATGTAGGTAACTATAAATTTTTTTACAGATAAAAGCTTAATTAAAAATTTAAAATATACAAACAATACCTACATACGTACATAAAATGTAAGAAAATAAAAAAAATTCCTATTATCAAGGTAAATAATAATATTTTATTGTGGAAAGAAAATATATCTACATAGAAGGGGAGTCTTCTTTATTTCTTCAACTCGATCGTAAATAATTTTATAAATTTATTATCTTAAATTATATATCAATTATAAATATTATATTTTTCTTTTATTATTAATTATATTTCTTTATAATTTTCTTATTTTTGCTTTTCTTTTTTAGATATTGTACCTATTTCCTATAAATGTGAGCAATTTGATTAGAAAAAAAAAAAAGAAAAATAAAAGAATCTATTAGAATATAGGAACTATGTGTGTAAATCTACAACATAATATAGAAAGATTAGGTATACCTAACTACTACCCAACTACATATCTAATAGCGATAAATATTCTGAAAGCTTCCCCTAAATTTAAGTAGGGTACACACAATAATATTATAATATTATAAAATATACATTATATTAGTACATACATATATGTATTTTGCATATGAGGAAAAATTATTTATGATTATTACTTTTTTTTACTTTGTATTGTGATATCAGAAAAAAATTTCAGTCTCTAATTATTAGAGAATTTTATTGTAATAACTAAAAAGTTCATTTTTATCGTATACCATATTATATGTATGTATATATATTTACATATGTTATATTAAAAAACGTTTCCTTTTTTTTTATACATAAAAAAATAGAGAATAAAAAAACAGAAAGAATTCAATATTATGATATCATCATTCATATATGTACGCATATGTAAGAAACGTAGATACTAGATACTATATTATTTTGTTGTATAGAAATCTTGACTATCGAATTTACCTTAAAAAAACTCTTTCAAGAATAATAATTAAGTATATTGTATTATTTATTATTAATATATCTTCGTGGCAATAAACATATTATTATAAAAAATCGTAAGATAAAAAAATATTTTTTTCTACTTCTATTTTCATATTTACATTAATTGTACGTATCTATATATTATATTCCATTTGAATATTGAACAATATTATATGTACATAAATGATGATAACAAATAAAATTTTTCAATTTTGATGATGATAACATTTAAATTTACTTTAAATATTAAACAAATATTCAAAGAATAGATATAGCTAAGTTGGTAATAAGGTAGTAGAATGGGTACCAATATTAATTTATCGTTTGTTAAAATTGTATTTATGAATTCGCTTTGAACAGATGCAAAATTATAAGTGAAAAAAATATCAAAACATAGAAACATTAAGAGTTTTATCACGAGTAAAATTTTATTAAAAATATAAAATTTAATTAAAAGTACGTTTCATTAATTTCTTAGGTACAATTCTGAAAAGATAATAATTTTATCATATGATAGAAGTCCAATTTATTTTTTTTTTTTTTTAAATTGTTTAGGTATTATTAAACAGAAACTTCAAATTCTGAATTTTTCCATCTTAATTAATTTTCTTAGGTCTCATTCTCTATTTATTTTTTTTTTTCCGTTTTTTCTATTTTATTTTTATTATGAATTTGTCGAATGTTTCTATTTTGCTATTTAATACACATGTAAAATACGAAAAGTTCAAAATACTGAGATCAACTTTTTTTTTTTAATTTTTTTCTTTATTCAAAGTAAAAAGCGTTATTAAAACAAGACGTTTTCTAGTTTTACAATTAGCTAATAAATTTTTTGATTGATAATCAATTTAAAAAAAAAATATTTAAAGTGACCAGATGTCATGTACAAAATTTTTTTTGGTTTTGTAACAAATTAACGAAATCTTGTACTGAGGATTGATTTTTATATGTATGGTACCTACATATGATGAGCATACGCTAAATTTTCTATATATTAATTTTAGAATCATTCTAGATATTAATTAATTTGAATTTTTAATAGATCTGGATTAAGTTTTCGAATATATTTTTATAAGTGTAATTATACATAGATATTATTCAACGTTAGAGTGTTAGTGTGATCCACATTAGAATTAAATTACCGTCAAAGACAGTTTTTACTAAATTACAAAAAAAAATAATTTTTGTTATAACAATTGATTGTATCTCCCAATCCAATGAAGTTATTTGATCCGTGCTTAGTGGACTAATTGGTAACCGGGGAATATATTGGCTTATCGTAGGATACCAGGTCAATATACTCGCCTTACGACGTTATACAGTACGTGACCTATTGCAATTGAATATAACAATTGAAAATAAACTATAAAGTCAAAATCGTGAAATTCGTGGACTGCGCAAATTAGATATCCAAGTTTTTGTTCAATTTGTATTTGTTAGAATTCATTTTTTAATACAATTCAATTATTGATTGCATTGCAAGTAAATTTTAAATAATTTAATCTATATTTTGTTTTCAATTCATTTTATCTTTTTTTTCATTTTGTTGCATTTTTCATGTAATTATAAATAATTTTTTTTTTTTGATATAGTTATGTTATGCGCACATGACATTCAAGAACTGAAAACTTGGACCTTGACTTAATTATTTTTACTGTTAATTAACTTTAATTCTTTTTATTTATTTTTTATTTTCCTTAATTATTCGATATTATTTTTATATTTTTTTCATTTTATACATATTATACTTATATAAAATTAATATTAATTACAATATTCATTCAAGCAGAACTTTTTGAAAATTCATTGGTTCTATTAGATTCGTTTGTTGAAGAAGTGTCTTTAATTTTGGTATTGAAATATAAGCTGAGAAATATTTAGTGTAGATGTAGGAAAAAAATTGAATTCAATTTCTAATTTTTAAAAAGAAATTGTTGATTACGTTAGCATAGTTATAAAAAGTTCTAATTCAATTTCTTATTCGTACATATTTTAAAATTTTGCAAATTAAATTCCAAATATTGGGTAATTGTTTTTAATAAAGTACTTATTATTAAAGTAGATAATACTAATTATGTGGGTGAAAGGAATCACTATTATAGTGAAAATTGAATAAATTTTGAATAGCACTGTACTAAATAAATATTAAGATTAACAATTAAAATTCAAAACACAATCAATTAAACATAAGAAAAATTTTACGTGACATGTAAAATTTAATAAATTTTATATACACTTATACTTATTTATGGATAAAAAATTTTATAATTACATAAGTGATAATGAAAACGAACAATAACCTTTTAACCACCTAAAATATAAAGAATTTAATTTACTTATTAAAAATTAGTAAAATTTTAAAATGTGGGTTAAAAGGTTGGTGTTACACACGGGTAATAATTATATGATTATTTGATAAATGAATATTTTCTTTTTTAATAATAAGTTTTTATGAACACACATTTCTAATTTAGTATTTGAATATTTGAATTGAAGTATGCATGTTGAATAAGAATTGCTTAATCTATAAAACAGGCCTTTATAAAAATGTAGGACTACAATAGGAGATTTTTCGAAAAGTGCAACTGTAATTAGGATATTTCTGAAATTACAAGCTTCAAATGCTCTTCATTACTTTAAATTTTAATTCACTAACTGTAATAGTTTAATTATCGCAAACAAGATGGAGATTTGATTCGGATTTTACAATTAGAAATGTGTTTGCATGCTACTTTTTCAAAAGAACCTAATTAGTTCAAAGGATGTTGTTTATATTGTTTCATTTAAACAATGTGTTTGGTAATTTCGGCTGAATATAATTTACCGGAATGAAAATTTATTGCTTAGCCAAAAGAACTTCTGTAATCCTTAAGTATATTCCAGATTACTCCAGATATTTTAGTTTTAAATTTTAGTAGGTATATACCAGTTAATAAAAGAAATCTGGTCACATATTTTCATTTGATTTTTTATTGCAATGAATGCCGCCAAGCTAAACCTGAGATAGCGAAAAAAATTATAATTATATGACTTTTTTTTATATAATTTTATTACTAATCAGTTTTAAAGCAATAAACGTTTTATCAACCTTTTTGAACCTTTTGTTTCTTTACTATTCTATTTATCTCGTAAAGAAGATATAAAATTTTTTTTAAGTTTTACTATCTTTAATGGAAATAATTACTTTTATATAGAAAACGAATATAGAAAAACGTACGCTTAAAAAATTAATAATGAATTTAAATTGCAAATAAGTGAAGATAAAGCAAAACAAAAATTTTTTTATAATATTTAAATTACGCCGCAAAATTATAGTGTTGTCAAACTCA